TAGACCGGACCGGGTCACGGGTCATCCCTACATTTCTTTATCCACCATTTTCCATTCACACCTCTTTTGTTATTATTTATTAAATAACAAACCCAACAATCCCCCACATGAATGAGGAATGGCTATAAACTTAAAGGAATGCATGGACGTGTGTGTGTTTTACAAGCAAGAATTGATTGCCTCTGGATAAGTAGGTTTCCCTTTGAACTTTCCGTAGTGAACTTATATCGAATATACTCGGTCAATCGGTAGATTTGATATCTTTGAACCGTCGAGCTTTGTTGTATACCTAGACAACATAAGTCACACAATCAATCCTTAACCATCTACGGTTCTCATGGTTGTGTTCGTTTCAACCATGAACACCGCCTGGTTTCATGAGTGCTTAGAGAATGGGCCTTTACTTTCATTCTCCTTGAAGCGGCTTACACTTCACACTCACATAGGTGATTCCTAAACGTGTAATCCTAAAGACACACTATCTGGTCATATCCTGCCAGACTTAGCAAATCATTAAAAAGCTTTAAGCTTTATCGACTCATCAAAAAGCCTTAATGCTTTACCTCGTTTTTGAACATTGTCTTCATCACGAGAATCGGTTGAGTTAGTTGACAATGTTGAACCGTCATTCATAACTTTGTTTGATCTCTTTGAGCCTAGCTCTTGGGATCTCCAGTCTGCTAGGCAGAGTTACCGCCATAATGACTTGTCCTCTGCCTTTAACCCCATTCCCTTTGATGATCTTTCAACCGCCTCTCTAGATAGGCCTTTTGTAAGTGGATCCGACAAGTTATCTCTTGACTTTACGTAGTCAATTGTGATAACACCACTAGAGAGTAGTTGTCTAACGGTATTGTGTCTCCGTCGAGTATGACGAGATTTCCCGTTATACATAACGCTCCCTGCCCTACCTATTGCCGCTTGACTATCACAATGTATACATATAGGTGCCAAAGGTTTGGGCCAAAATGGAATATCTTCCAAGAAATTCCGGATCCATCCAGCTTCCTCACCGACCTTGTCTAAGGCTATAAACTCAGCCTCCACTGTAGAGCGGTCAATGCACATTTGTTTGGACGATTTCCAAGACATCACTCATCCACCGACTGTTTAGAATCGGTTGAACCAGTGATCTAATTTGCATCACTATACCCCTCTATTATCGTGGGATACTTATTGTAGTGCAAAGCATAATTTGGAGTATATTTCAAATGCTTCAAAACTCGTTTCATTGTCATGAACGTTCAATGCAAACTTCCTTATGTTGTAGACTAATACGTCTCGATTTTCGATTGCATATCAGATTATTGACTACACTTAATGTAATAATTATAACAACAGCTGGAATGATTGGCATCAGTTGTGGCCACAGCCTTTTAATATATAACACATTTCGTAATCATTCTACCATTTTCAAGCATTTGTACGCTATTCATTCATATGTCTATATGATATGCAAATTATAGCACCTCCATTCATGAAACAAATCCAACTTGCAATGGATTTTGGTCATGTTCACCTCATTATAGACCAATGTATTAATATATTCGTTCATGAACGGTCATGTCTATACAGACGTATCTTTCTATGAAAAGTCACAACCTTCAAAGTGACATCATTTCATAAAAGAACTAAACAATATAAATTTTCATTAAAGAAAATGACCTTTCGAGAAAGGCATGTGACCAACTTCCGAATTAGTAGTTTCATCAACTAGTCTTTATTAAGACTAAACAATTGATGATTTTACCAACTACTATATCAATGGAGTTCAAAAATTATATAATTTAGACATTACGTCTAACATTGGCTTTTGTCATGCATAAGCTAAAAGCCCCCACATTTTAAATATTTCATCAACATATCATATATAATCAAATAATGACTATATGATTTGAAGTATTCTTAACGTAAACACATTTGTTTACACTCATTATTTTTTGAAACCATTTGACAATATTATTTGGTCAAATCTCGCATGTCATTGTTTACTAAACAATTGTATCCAAACGTTACGACTTTCCCGGTTTCTCGGCTGGAGGAACAGTAGTGCGGCTTGACGAGGCTATCGTCGTTTGCACCAACAGTCGCAGAAAGAATTCCATTCTCATTTGCCATTTCTTACAGTGAACAACAGAAGAGATCAATTAATGGCAAAACCAAAACAGTAAATAATACTGTAATTAATAAACAGTACGTAATAAAAACAACTAAAGTTTAAAAAACGATGAAGTTTTTATTTCAGTACTCTGATGAAGTTTTTATATCTTCAAATCAGAATAATAAAATTCAGACAGAATACAAAATATAATTTAATAATTTCCTTAAGATTGTTATTTATCTGTATTGCTGTAAATTAAATAATAATCTTTCTGAAAACATAAACAGAAAGTTAGTAGAAATTAAATTCCGAAAATAGTAAACTTCTTCAAAATAAATTCTGGAAAAACGTTATAGGAACAAATCGAGCCCACTGAATACACAGTGTGTCCTTAAGGAAATTATTCCCCTCAAGTACCCGAGGTTTTGGAATATATCCTCCCAGAATAGATTTAACTCACCAGTATATCGGTACCTAAAACTCTGGTGATCGGCGAACCACTCGATGGTCGTAAAACACACTGGAATATTTTGTGCAGAAGAAGAAGAAGAAGATTCAGAAAATTTCGTAAGTAAATATTCTGGGATTTGAAGGTCTATTTATAGCCAACTTGGTGATGTTTCTGAAGAGGTTTGCAACCTTTCAGAATAGTCATGACTGTTGGAACAGGTGTGACCCTCTGAAGAGGTTTGCAACCTTTCAGAACAGTCATGGCTGTTGGAACAGGTGTGACCCTATGAAGAGGTTTGCAACCTTTCAGAACAGTCATGGTTGTTGGAAATTTTTGCGGAAAATTTAAAACGAATTTAAATTAATCCGAAAAAGAAAAACGGGCTAGACCGGACCGGGTCGCTGGTCATCCCTCAATTTTCTTCCCACCATTTTCCATTCACACCTCCTTTGTTATTATCTATTAAATAACAAATCCAACACATACTAACATTATTATGATTGCGCAAGTGTGAGTGGAAAGATATTGTATCCACTTACGATATGAATAGAAGAAATTGTCCTTTTAAAAACTTATTATGTTGTTTTTAGAAATTGTATACGGTGAAATCGGAGGGTCCAATTTCTCGTCATCGAGGCGCCTCAGAAGATCATCTCGAAGGCTCGAGGCCACGACCGAGTATCCTCTCTCGAGGGTCGTCGGCACTCGACCTCAGGGTAGTAATGATCACGGTAATGGTAGAAATGGGGAGTTCCCAAGGCACACGGCTAGTACTGACAAAGCCTAGTGGACTACTCTAAACCCGAATCAGGGTGTCATCTAGCTGTCTCATCTCCATATCTTTGTAATTAATGCATTTTGTACTATGTTGGGATTCACCTCATATATAAAGGGGATCCTTGTCACTTTGTAAATCCCTGGCTTTAATTGCTCTACACGAAATGTACAAAAAACATTCTCTTTGCTCTTTAACACATTCTCTTGATATTATTGCTTCCATTTATTATCTTCATTATTGTTCATCATTTATTGCTCATCATTGGCCATAAAGAGCCTTCGTTGATTTTATTATAACTGTTAGTCATACCTCGACCACCTTCGATAGCCCACAACCGAGTTCCGGGATCGACCTCGAGGTCCTCGAATCGACGAGCTCGAGGCCCCGATTGTTGACCTATCGGTTTGATTATCACCCTAATCAAATTTTTAGAGTCTCATAATCAAATTTAATTGTTATTACCATTTTTACGGTAAACAGAAATCTCTTATATTACTTTTTATTAATTTTTGATAAACTTTATTATTATACTAAAAGTAACATTCATAATAAATTATAAAATCGAATCTTCCATGTGTACTTATACACACTTCTCACATGTTAATTTAAATTTTAAATAGACCAAAAATCGTTTTCTTGACCAACAAAGTACAAAATAAGCAAAAAATTTGAAAGTAGAGTTACTGTCAAAGGGACTAGAAAACAAGAGGGAATCTATCCAATCTGTTGTTTGGTTTGTGGTAAAAGACATTGGAAATTTCAGGAAACAGGAGCGGACTCATTAACTGACCTGTTCCTTGTGGGCCCCATTACATCCAGTAGAGCGTTACCAAGCGCGTGTTTCTCGAGCGTGAGCATTAAATTTCTCCATATCAGCATTATGTTTGTTTTCCCCTTCTTATTTGACTAAGCACAAAAAAAAAAAAAAAGTTTAAAAAGCAAATTTTTATTGTAATTATTATTTAAATTAAACATAAATATTTATATAAAATTAAATTAGCTAAAATTAAAGTATTTATAATTATGTGATGCACATAAAACTTAATTTTTTTTGAACCTTGTATTTGTATTCTAAAATAAGTTATAAATTTTCTTATGATTATAAATGATCTGATTAACAATAAAACAAGAAGTTTAAATTTAAATTAAAAGTATAGAGTCATTTTTCCGTTATACACCAAAAAATAAAGTAAGGGGAGCCGTGGAAGCCGCCAATAATACTTGCATTAGGATAAATTATGTACATCACAACCCATGTAAACACGAGATATAGGGTAAGTTTTTTTTAAAAATTAATGCCTTGTGCACCGAGTTGCTCTCTTACTCTAAAAAAATAAAGTACATTACATGATATTGAAAGAGTATTTCTTGTTTGGTTTCTAAGTTGTATAACTAACAAAAACAAAACTACATAGAGGAAGAGAAAGAAGAGAGGAAAAAAATAAACAGAGTTTTGTGTCTTGGGAAACAGCATAGAGCTGAGTTGAAGCTACTTGCTCTCTTTCTCAGGGCTTATTGTATGCAAAAAAATAAGCTAACCCCTCGAGCTCTTCACCTCATTTTCTTTCTCCTCTTTCTAGGGTACTTCTTCTTGGAGCTTTAGTGAGTTTTTCTTTTTCTTAAAAAAAAAAAATAGTATTATTAGCTGCTGGTTTGTATTTTACTAGAAAACTTGAGTTTATCTTTCTGGTTTATCTAAGAATGTTCATATACTAGATGTGTTATTGTTGTTATTTTATTAAAGTTTGAATCTTTTTGATGTATTCATGGGTTTAATGTAGCTATATTTGCTTAGACTATTGATTTCTTATGTGGGTTGGTTTCGTTTTTTGATAATGTTTCTATCTTTGAGGAAATATTGGTTTTCTTTTACAATGTGGGTTGAGTTTTTGGCTTCAACAACAACAGACCCAGTGTAATTGCACGAGTGAGGCCTAAGAGTTCGTATTTGCTTAGAACATTGATTTCTCATGTGGGTTGTTTTCTTTTCTGATAAAGTTTCCATCTTTGAGGAAATATTGGTTTTGTTTTACAATGTGGGTTGATTTTTTGGCTTGAACGAACGACAGCAACAACAAACTCAGTGTAATCCCAAGAGTGATATCTGGAGAGGGTGGGATGTACGCACCCTTACTCCGAACCTCGAAAGGCAGAGAGGCTGTTTCCAAAAACTCAAATGCTTTAAAATGAAGTGTTTTTAGTTTCTTTAGATCTATATAACCTCACCCAAAAATGGAAAGTTGAACTTAGTTTATGAAAATGATTAAGCATCCAAAGCCCAACTAACTTTCTTCTTCTTGAAAAACATGAATTTTCTGCTTTGGAGTTGAGTTAAATGGTCCTGTTTTGCTGTTGCAGCTGTTGTCTTTTTTGGTATCTTCACGGGTTCTCAGTTGTCTTTTCTGCTTTATCCTTGTACTAATGTTGTTTAGTTAAAAAAGAAATGTTTTTCCTTTACTGTTTCTTTGTTTGTTTTTTTTTCGGGTTTATTTCAATCTTTTTGCCTAAATTTTAAAGTAGGTTCTTTATAGTTCAGATGTGTTTCAAGACAATATAAAATAAGAAAGATTCCTAAGTTTGGAAATCACTTCATCTGATTATGTCTCAAAAAAGTCATTGGTGAATGGTGATTACTATGTTTTATGTTCACTTTTGAGATATTTGTTGAAATGTGGTTTCAAATGTCGCTTCGGTTTTCTAATTGCACTACTCAGTGTTAGTCTTGTATTTTCGCTTCGGTTTTCTGATTGGTTTGCTTGTTGTTACTTCTTCTTTTTATCTTTTCTGAGCTGAGGGTTTACCGGAAACAACCTCTCTGCCTTCTTAAAGGTTGGGGTAAAGACTGCCTACACTCTACCCTTCCCAGACCCCACTTGTGGATTACACTGTATTTGTTGTTATTGTTGTGGTTTCAAATGTCATTTTCTTATGAACAATGTTGTCCCAAAGATGTTATTTGTATACGGTGTAAGAACAGGAGTAAAGATAAAGAAAAAGAAAAAAGTGGATATCTGGCTTAAGTAATGATATTTGATTGCAACTTTTCTTTTTCCTTTTTTTTTTCCATTATCTTTTTTTTGGTCCTTTTTTTGGTTTCTTCTTTTTCCATTGTAGGTTTGGTTGGTGGAGTGGAGGTAGTTTATCTGGAGTTTCTTTGAAGGGACAGTGTTTTTTGTCTAGTTTTATTTCCAAATTTGAATGTGGATTAAAGTTTACAGATTAGTAATGAACCCTTATTTGTCTTTTGCATATGTACATACATTACAATTTCTTTCTCAGCTAAGGAATCCTCTGAATTATTTCAGGTGTTGTAGGTCAGGTGGTCTTTTAGTACAAAGCTCATTCAGTTTTTCACATTTCTACATTTACTGCTGAGAGTAAGTTAATATGCAGACACCAAAAGCAAGGTATTACTATTTCTAATTCATCCATGTTGTTGTTTATGACCTCTTATTTTGCATATCTTGATCTCTTGCAGATAATTCAATTACCTTGCTTTTTTTCTTCTTATTCTCCTCTCTCTTCATGGACCGGAACATTGGTTTGTTAGTCATTTGGTAAATGTAGATAAATTTATCAGTTCGAGAGTTCTTCAACTAAATAATTTATCAACTATAGGTTTTCATGTTCAATTATTGCCTTCTAGTTTTTAATGCATTCGTTCACAGTCCTTGACTACTAAGTCGGTGGAAGCTGTTTGTCTAGAGCTCAGTGGTCCTTTAAGTAAGAGTTACTACAGTGGTTTATGATTCTTTTTTTGATAGTTAAGGTATAATGTTATTGACAGTTGTCTATGATTCTACGTTCTAAGGCAAACTTATTCAAGAATTATATTATCAAAATGCTCATAACTGAATTGTGCTGAGAAATTCACAAGCTATGAATGTTGAAGATCGGGAGATCAACGTTTTCTGCATGGGGAAAGAAATTATGTGCAGTCACCCTGTACGAAGGAAGTTAAAGCGTTACGTTAGTATCTAATATTGCATCTATCATCTTGCAGTTTTTTAGATATTTGATGGCTGATCATCTTACAAATTTAACATTGAAACTTCTGTAACATATTGGTACAACAAATAGAACAGCAGTAAGGCTGATTGTGCTCTAAAAGAAGCCAGTGGTAAAGTTTTCGCAGAAACAACTGACGTACATTAAAAAAAAAATTGGTGCTAATTTGTGAGCCTGTATTGATCCACGTCTTTTAAGAACTAGGTTATTATCTGCCATAGTCCTTTGAGCCGAGGGTCTATCGGAAACAGCCTCTCTACCTTCACGAGGTAGGGGAAAGGTCTGCGTACACACTACCCTCCCCATATCCCACTCGTGGGATTAAAATGAGTTTGTTGTTGTTGTTTGCAATAGTTGTTTGACTATCTTGTTCATCTTCTCCCGTGTTGCTGAAGGACTGTTTCTGTGGAGGTGCCACAAAGGACATCTCCTGCTACACCAAAGACAACTCGAAAACTCAAGGCTCCGGGTTCAAATGCTGATTCTGTTTCATCTCCAAATCCAGCAACCAGGACACCTAAAGACAGGAGTCCTAAAGTCGTTGGTCGCCGGTCGCCTCGGAGTCCAGTGATAGAGGTAATTGTGTTATGTGTTAAGCTTGGATATTCAGTGCTTCTCAATTGGCTTTTATGACTATGCTTGGAATGTCAAAATTTCTTAAATGGCTTTTCTGACTAATTGGTACAACTGAAATTGTTTCTTTTCTGTCACAATATGTATGGTATTCCTCTTGTTACCATCCTTAAAAAAAATGTTTGGTCTTACTCAAAGAGAAAATCTACAAATAGTTATGTCTACTAGGATATAGATAAAGTTCCTTGAGCCGAGGGTCTGTCGAAAACAACCTCTCTACTTGCACACGGTAGGGGTAAGGTCTGCGTACACACTACCCTCCCCAGACCCCACTTGTGGGATTACAGCGGGTTTGTTGTTGTTGTTGTTGTTGTAGTACTAGGATATAGGTAAAGTATGTCACTCCCAATAAGCTTTTGATCCTTGCTCGCCGTTCATGCTAAAAAGACTTGTCGTTATCATGTCCATTCTTGATTTAACATATTACATTGGTTAAAAGTGATTGGGGTTGTTATCTTCTTTCGGTACGTGCACAACCCTTTGCTTCTGACGCACGATGCCTTCCCATATTTCATGGCCTTTGTATGTCGCTGTTGTCAGTGAAGAAACTCTCTTGCTCAGTTACTTGTTTGTCCAAGGCACTCACAATATTTGCTAGCAACCAGGAGGTCACGGGTTCAAACCGTAGAAACAGCCTCTTGCAGCAATGCAGGGTAATGCTGCCTACAATAGATCCTTGTGGTCCGGCCCTTCCCTGGACCCCGCGCATAGCGGAGGCTTAGTGCACCGAGCTGTACTTTTCCTAATCTTTTGTTCTTTTCCTACTTAAAGGTACCTAGTTTTAGTGTGATGCTCATTGCTCTTATTTTGTGTAATACAGAAGCGTCCAAGCAAAGTGTCCGACCTGGAAGCCCAGCTTGCTCAACTCCAAGAGGAGCTGAAGAAGGCGAAAGACCAGCTTAATTCTTCTGAATCATTGAAGAAAAGGGCTCAACAGGATGCCGATGAAGCCAAAAAGCAGCTCGCCATCATGTCAGAAAAGCTCGAGGATTCTAAGAAACAGCTACTTGAGCTCTCAGATTCAGAGGAAGCTCGACTGCTGGAGTTGCGCAAGATCTCACAGGATCGAGACCGAGCATGGGAATCCGAGCTTGAAGCTATCCAGAAGCAGCACGAGTTGGACTCTGCTGCTTTGGCATCTGCCTTGAATGAAATTCAGAAACTTAAAATTCAGCTGGACCGAGTGGCAGATTCTGAAGCCACTCAAGCTCATCATGCTGAGTCTGCTCACGCTGAGATTCAAAGCTTAAGGTTTGAACTTAAGGAGACCCTTACGTTGGCTGAGAAATTGAGAAACCAGCTTAATGATAGCAAGGAATCCGAGGCTTGTTCACTTGAAGAAGTGAGTAAAGCTCAAATGCAGCTTGAAGTGTCCAAGATGACCGAGGATACTCTACGTTCTGAAGGTCTGAAAGCGATGGACGCCTGCAGAACCTTGTCTTTGGAGTTGGAAAAATCAAAGGATCGAGTGGCTTCTTTGGAGGAACTTGTCAGCAAACTCCAGTCTTCAGAAAGTTCTGTAGCTGCAGAAGGAAACGGCGTAACTGTGGAAGCGGATGAACTAAAAGCTGAGGTAAGTGAACTAAGAGCTGCTTTAGAGGCTTCCGAGAGGAAGTATCAGGAAGAATACATCCAGAGCACCTTGCAAATAAGAAGTGCTTACGAGCTAGTAGAGCGCACTAAATCTGAATCAATTCAGAGGGAGGCTGAATGGGAGGCAAAATTAAATGAAGCAAAATCTGAAGTGCAAGATCTAAAAGAAAAACTGATGAACAAAGAAGTTGAACTGCTAAACATTTCAGATGAAAATAAGGGGCTAAGTCACTCAGCTGATAAAGAGTTTGAATTAGCTGCTCAACTGAAGAAATCAGAGTCAATTTTGGGAGATCTGAGAGGAAATTTATTAGACAAAGAGAATGAGCTGCAGAGTCTTATGGAGGAGAATGAGGTGCTGAAGTCAGAGATCGGAAAGAGGGAATCAGAGAGTACCAAAATGAGCGACGAGGCACTTGCCTTAGTGGAAGCAGCGAAAACTGCAGAAAGAGAGGCTTTGATAAAGCTGGGGGATTTGACTGAAGAAGCAGATAGAAGCAGTAGAAAGGTAGCACGGGTCACTGAGGAGTTGGATGCAGCACAGACTGCAAACTCAGATATGGAAACCGAGCTGAGGAGGTTAAAAGTGCAATGCGATCAATGGAGAAAGGCTGCTGAAGCAGCTGCTACAATGCTTACAACAGGAAATAATGGGAAATATGTCGAGAGAACAGGTTCTTTAGACTACCACACTATAGGCGGAAAGCTTGGTTCTCCACTTTTGGATGACTTGGAAGATGACTCGCCAAAGAAGAAGAATAACAACATGTTGAAGAGAATTGGTGTTTTATTAAAAAAGGGCCAGAAGTAAATAATGCTCCTATCATGCAGGTTGCTTTCACATGATCATTGTTCTATTTCTTGCCTGTTGTTGATATTTCTATTCTTCCTCTCGAGCTAGGGTCTTTCGGAAACAGCCTCTCTACCTCCCCAGACCCCACCAGTGGGATTCCACTGGGTTGTTGTTGTTGATTGTTCCATTTCTCCAGTAATCTTAATCGCGTAAACAATTTTCAGTATTTGTTAATAAAACTACTACTTTCCTTCTCAGGACTGTAGCTGAGCTGATGGCCTCGCGGAACGAATCTCTTTTGCAGATTTTTGTATAGCTGTTTGGAAATTGATGATCTTTGTATGATCTCACCTGCCTATATTGGTAGGTTTGTTTAGGAAATAGTAAGAGCTTAATCTCTTTTAAAAATTCAGTTTGTATGGCAATTGGTATTTTCAGAGACAGGCTGTTGTTTTTTCCAACCATTTCTTGTAAGTTTAATGAACCTAAGAGGGATGATTAATGGTAGAATTTGCTCTATTGTTGCTTCAAGGATTTTCATGTTAAAAATGGCATTTTGATGTATCTTTATTATGTCAAGATTGGAGCCATTAAAAAAAAAAAAGGAAGGAAAAAAAAAAGGTGGTAAACAAAGCCTTTTTGGTGGTTCATGTAGTACATATACAACAATATACCTAATATAATCCCACAAGTGAGGTTCGGGGTAGTGTGTACGAGACCTTATCCCTACCTTGTGAAGGTAGAGAGGTTGTTTCTAATGGTCTCTCGGCTCGAAAAAAGCATGAAAAGGAAAAGAAGCAGCACAACAGTAAGATAGTGAGATAGCTGAAGCAAAAGAAACAATAGATAGTACTATAAATCCAAGAATAAGAGAATGCAAAATACTACTACTACTATGGAAAGGAAAGACGTATGACTACCTACTAAGTATTAACTTACAATCCTAATTCTCGACCTTCGTCCCCTCTTATCAAGAGTGTATATATATGTACATGCATAATTTGCTTTTAGGTGATAATTCTTAGTCCATTTGCATAATGGAAGGAAGTATTTATTCAGAGGTCTACTTAATTGGATTTTTTCTTTTGAACAAAGTTCTATGTGTCTATGACATGAGAGAGAAGTCAAATTAATAGATCATGCTGCAACTCAAGGCTAAATGTTATTACTAATAATTGGTTAAATCCTTGCTAACTAAGAAACTTTCAAGCATAAACCAATATTAAATAGAGTACCAATTACAAGGATCTTGTAAAATAAAAGAGAAGTATTGACAATTCTAAATAAATGACAAACCAACCAATTTATTTTAACAAATTCAGGGGGAGGTGTAACATTATAGGAACAGAACTTTCCATACAAACCGTTGATATACTGTGCAAAATCTTTGGAATATCTATATAAATTAACTTATTAATCCATAAATTAAATTTTGAACCCATAAAGTTAAGTTCTTGGATCCGCTATGAACAAAATAAAAAAACAACGAAGAAAGAAAAAAGAAAGAACATATTATTTCAAACCTAGATTATGCCTGAATATACGATCTAAGAAATTTAGAAAAATCAGATTTACAACTGCTAATTGAAAATTAGCTATAGTTTTAAAATTAAATAAAATTTAGCCACTTTTTCATGTGAAAAAAATTTTAATAAAAACATCCTTAAAAATCTAGAAAAATTCCAGCATAATATGCTGGAGTTCAAACTTTTTACACATGAGATTCCAGCATAATGTGCTGGAATTCATACTGTTGGAGTTCCAACATAATATACTGTAAGTTTATACTCATGAGTTCCGTAATCCAACACCATGAACTTTCCATATTTCAGCAGGGTACTTCGTCTAGGAGCCCGTTTGGATGGGCTTGTTTTAAGTGACTTAAAGCCAAAATAGCTTTTAAGCCATAAGTTAGAAATTCTAACTTTTGGCTTTTGACTTGTTTTTGTCATTTTAGCTTAAAAACAAGTGCTTAAAAGCACTTTTTTACTTTATCCAAACACTACAAAATGGCTTAAAAACTATTTGAGCTTAAAAGCACTTAAAACAAGCCAATCCAAACGGGCTCTAGATTTTAGTTCCGCAATAAATAGTGGCTATTTTTCAATAATTTTACAAACGTTGGCTATTTTTCAATAACCACATGTAAAAATGGCTATGCCATACCATTTTGACAGGAATTTAACCAGCCCAATCAATACAACCCAATTTCAGGAAGCCCAAAATCCAGCCCTCTTGTATATAAACACCCAACGGCCCCTACAAAATGATTTTTCTTATATTTTAGGGTTTTGCTAGGCGGCTGAGTCCTATCTCCTTCAACATCTCAAACCCTAGTCTGAAGTCGGAATCCTCTTCACTCAGCAATCATGGGGTATGAACTAAGCTCTAAATTTGCTTTCCAATTTTTTTCACTCTACATTGTTTCTCTTTGATGCATTTAAAATGTTTAAAAAAAAAAAACCAAATTCCTAGTTCTAATATTTGTTTTGTCATGTCCAAATGATGCTATTGTAGGAGTAGACTGAACGAAAAAGATTATTTCTTATTTGTTAATTAAATCTTAGGGAATGATTTTATTTTTGAGCAAGTTGCTGGATTTTGAGAAATTGAGTTAATATGATAGCTAGAAGCAGATAGTAGTTGTAATTTGTAATGGTTGGAATGAGATGGACCTAAAATAGAGGGGGAATAGATACAACGGATTTATATAGGTAACTCCGGCTAGTTTAGGATTGAGGTGTTGGTTAATTGACTTGGGCATGGAAAATTTATGTATGATGGATCTGGTGGAGAGGGCGGAGGTAACCGGTGGAATAGTCGGGTGCCTCTCAAGCTTGCACGGACACAACCCTTATCAACAGATGTTTATGTGTGATGGACGTGTCATGGCGGGTAATTTCGCAGAAAGTTGATGATTTACTTTCTTGTTGCTTAAAGCAGTTTTTATGTGAGTAAACGAGATGAAAATAGAATTTTTCCATGAGTTGATGAGCAAAAATTAGGAACATCTTATAGTGCCATGAGTTAATTGATAGAGATTTGATGTGCTTCTCGAATTAAGGATCAAGTTCTAAGCTGCTCTCATGACTTTGGGTATAAGTAGAAGATAACTGTCTATGAACTTCATTTCTGATACAGTTTCATACAATTTTGTCTTCCAAATGTTGAGTAACAACCTAGTGGGAAGCATAGGCATTGTATATTTCTACTAAATGACTCCTGATGTCGGTAAAATTACAGGAAGACACGTGGAATGGGAGCTGGACGCAAGCTGAAGTCCCACCGCAGAAGACAAAGGTGGGCTGACAAGTCCTACAAGAAGTCACATCTTGGTAATGAATGGAAGAAGCCATTTGCCGGATCTTCCCATGCCAAAGGAATTGTGCTTGAGAAGATGTAGGTTTATCTTGACACTAGTTTTACTGCTTATGTTATCCGTCAAACATGTAAATTGTATCTAACCAATCAAGTTGCTAAAATGCGTTCACAGAGGTATTGAGGCTAAGCAGCCCAACTCTGCTATTCGTAAATGTGCTAGGGTTCAGCTCATCAAAAATGGGAAGAAGATTGCTGCCTTTGTCCCTAACGATGGTTGCTTGAACTACATTGAAGAAAATGTGAGTCTTTTGCTTTCAAGTATTCTTGATTCACTGAAGTGTGAAGAGTGTTTTCAGTTTCGCGGTGTGCTAACTTGGATCCTTGATATTGCAGGATGAAGTGTTGATTGCTGGATTTGGTCGGAAAGGTCATGCTGTGGGAGATATTCCCGGAGTCCGGTTCAAGGTGGTGAAGGTTTCTGGTGTCTCTCTCCTAGCTCTCTTCAAGGAGAAGAAGGAGAAGCCAAGATCCTAAGTTGCCTCTTTTTTTTGTCAAAATACTCTCGAGTGTGTAGTGGACTTTTAGCTATCTTGAGTTTACTTTGTGAACTACTATTAACTAGTTATTGTACTGGAATTTTGGTTCATTTCTGTTGAGTTCTCATATTTACCTCTTCCTCCTTTCCCAAAAAATTGTGGCCTCCAGTTGATTCTTTGTGTTTTTGCCTATGCACTTAGATCATCGTTAAGTCATCTTTGGTTATTATTTGATGTGGAGGAATCTAAAATTGGTCCAACTGTTGGGTGTGTTTATGGGTAGGAAAACAAATGATTTCTTATATATTTTTTGGTGTTTGGTATGCTGAGTAAGAAAAAATATTTTCTAATATTTCGTCGACAAAGAAAATAATTTCTAATCATAAAAGTAGTTTTCAATCATGACGAGCTTTTCCTCATATCTTCGAGTAAAATAACTTGCAGAACAGGCTAAGAAGTTTTAGAAATAATTTTACTTCTGAAATGAGAAACAAATAAAGAGATTCTTTTTTTTGATGGATAATCAAACGTATTGTAGAGCATATATACTATATATTTGAATTAATGGGAATTGCTAGTAAATATTATTATTCCTCCGCTAAAATTGGGAGAGATACCCCGGGACTGGCGTCAGCTTGGAAAATGGCTAACCAAACATGCAAAAATTAGAGATGTTTTACACACACCCTTGATAGGAAGGAAAATGTTTTCTTACTTGTTTTCTGGTGTTTGGTTAGTCGAAAATATTATACCAAAAGCATTTACATATATTTTAGGCAAATACTACGGGGGACAGAATGGGGTCACGGTTCTGCATCGGGGATTGTGGTTCGGGGTCAGTTGTTGGGGGTCGCGGTTTGTCGAGGGTCAAGTGTCGGGGGTGGGGGTCGGGGTCAGGGGTTTGGGGATCGAGGATCATGGTCTAGTTCGGGATGAGAGGTTTGGAGTCAGGGTTCGGGATCGAGCATCGTGGTATGGGAACGGTGAGTCGAGGGTCGGGGTCGACATTCGAGGGGTCGGGGTCAAGGGTTAGTAATCGAGGATCGGGTCCGGAGTACGACTCATGAGTATTTTAGGAAAATAAAAAATGGGGGATGGTGTTAACCTACTATATATATATATATATATATATATATATATATTCAAATCTTTCCATCACGCATGAATATTGTGTATTAGATCCTATCCTAAGTAGATTCTTCTAGTAAGTATTTTAGTTGTTTTCATTTTTATTTTTGCCAATGGCATACATGT